TAGTTTATTTTTTTATCTTTATTATAGTAGAGATGGTAGGCACGTCAAATCGAGCTGCTTTACGGTTTTATATAAGGTGGCAGTGAAACCATGCTGAATTATTGTGGATATAGGGAGCAGAGCACTTATCAGTATCTCTTTTCCAGGATATTTAGGGTTTCGTTTGGAGAAACAAAGGGAAATATAAGCTTGGCAGTTCGTTATCAAACAAGATCCGTTGTAGTCTAGCTGGTTAGGATACTCGGCTCTCACCCGAGAGACCCGGGTTCGAGTCCCGGCAACGGAAATTTTTAAATTTTGGAGCATTTTTATCTTTCGTTGCACCGCTGACACGCGACACGGATCGCCGCCGAGCCTAATACCTCATCCATCACTGAACCGTGCACATACGTGGTCGACCGCGACGCCAAGGCCACAGCCCCACGCATGGGCCGTGGTCGTCCAGCACCGGCCCTGGGACGTCAATCCATCAGCTAATTCACCAAGCGCTGTGATGTGGAATAAGTACACCAGAGGTCCCTTAATTTTACACCGAATTCAATTTTCATCCTGAACCCCAAAACCAGATACAACCAGTCCCTAAACTGTCAAAACCGGTGTAAACGACTCGGCGGTTTTGGCTGAGGTGGCTCCTACGTGTCTAGTTTGACTAGGTCTCCGTCCCACGTGGCGTTTACGTGACAATTATTTCTCGGAAAAATAATAAAAATCATGGGCCCACATATCAGCTAAAAAAATGGTGGGGCCCACGTGGGCCCCACATGTCATATCTTCTCCCCTCTTGGCTTTCCCTCTTCTTCTTCATCGCGCTACAGCGTCACCTCACAGCCGTCACCGCACCGTCGTCGTCGTCCTAGTCCTCGTCGCCTCCAACGAAGATGGCGGTCAAAGCATGCCGGCGGAGCGGCGGCAGGCCACGGGCAGTGGAGGTGGCCGGTGGAGGAAGAGGCAGAGAAGGAGGTCGCCGGCAAGCACGACAGCTGCGCGGGCTATCTCCTCCCGTCGTTGCTCCTCGCTCGTCGTTCTTGTTGCTGAGGTCGGGCGAGGATTTTCTCGACGCCGGGGAGGGGTCGGCAATGGAGGGGGGGAGGGCGGCGGTGGCGGTGGAGGATCGGAGATGGCGACATCGATGCCGAGAACGACCCTCCTTCGTTCCAACTCCGCCGACACCCACCAAAAACAGAGCTCCTCGCCGGGGATGGCCGGGCGCCGTGGGTGGGGGCTCGATGGCGATGGGCGAAGGGAGAGGTGCGCAATGGCCGAGCGTGACCTCGCCGACGGGATACAAGGCTGCCGTCGTTGCCGTCGTTGCTTCCCCGGACGATCTCGACTCCCGCAGGCTCTCCGTCGCCACTCCGTCCGCTCGCCACCCTATCGACTTCGCGCGCCACTGCTCGCCACCGCTCCTTGCAGACTACAGAGTAGGGGATAGAGAGAAGATAGAGTAGTAAGGATGACATGTGAGGCCCACCATTTTTTTATTATTATTTTCTATATGAAACTGACATGTGGGTCCTATGGGTTTTTTTTTATCAAATTTCCACGTAAGCTCCACTTGGGACGAAGACTTAGTCAAAGGAGCCCCGTAGACGCCACATCAGCCAAAACTGGGCACAATACTGCCGAGGGACCTCGCATGGTTTTGTAAGTTGAAGGATGTGTTGTACCCGGTTTTGCACTGGAACAAATTTCGGACTCGGCAACAAATTGAGGGATGTAAAGTGAACTTATTCCTTGTGATGTAGTACAGTCCAGTGGCGACGTGATCTAGGACTTGCCCACTAACGGGCATGTATCCGGCCCAGATATCGTATGCATCCGTCCTATTTCCGGCCTGCGGATTCGCCGGCCCAGTGAGATGGACCTCAGGAAGGTGGCGACCCACTTCCCACCGTCCCCGCCTCCATACTCTTCGTTTGGCTCGGCCGCTCGGGACTGAGTCGGCTCGACTCGTTTGAATTTTTCGATGAGCCAAGCTAGCAGTTTAGCTCGTTAAGTTAACGAGCCCAACGAGCTATGCACAAGTCCAATAGCCCAAAAAGAAAAATATGCTAAGCGAGCGCTAGATGCATAAGGACAGTTGAAAAATAACCAATAACCCTTATCGGTTGGGCTAATAAGCTAAAGCAAAAGTAAATTTTTAATTTTTTTAAACTTAATTTTGGAGTTGATTTTAAGATATTTTCAACGTAGTTTCTTTTTAGTGTTGTTGTTTAAGTCGCTACGAACAAATATATAAAAGTTTCACCTATAAATTAATTTTTACTCTATAGTAAACCGTTTTGGTTTATTAGGGAATATGGACAACTGGTGAGGCCCCATCACAATACAGTCCATCCATACGACCATTCCAGGCCAGCCTAAATACTCAAGCTATGAAATTACTGAACCGTAATTTATTTCTCCCATCCTCATGACGAGCGCCGCCATCGCCATGCACATCGTTGCGCATTTGCACGCAGGTAGGCAGACACTTGTGCACTTGTCTTGCGTGGAGCTCCTCAGCTAGTAGTAGAGTAGCTCGCGAGCCAAAATGAGCTAGCTCGAGCTCCTTTTACGAACCGAGCCAAGTTATTGTTTGGGCTCGATTGCTTAGGGCAGTCCCAACCCTCCATCTAGAATGGTGTTTATGGTATTAACTACATTATTATGTAGGACTTTTAGCTTATGTGGCACTATATTAATTAAGAGAGAGAGTGAAGAGAGGAAAAAATTGGGTCTCATGTAAGACACAGCTTCAACACGAGAACCTATGCACTAGACACTATCAAGTTATGTATTGGGAGAGAATAGTGTCTTCATAATAGATGAAGAATAATTATGATTGGTAGAGAAGAGAGATGATATATTTATTAATGGCCCACTTTAAGAAACCATGGGTTATAGAGTGTAGTTTCTATTGTGATGTCTTATTGACATGGCACTATAGACACTACTTATGAACACTATGGGTTGGGACTGCCCTTATTGAGCCGAGCTAGCTTATTATCTTGATGAGCTGACACGAGTCAATCTGGGCTCGCTATCCACCCATACGTACACACAGGCCTCTAGCCAAAGGAGCGGGTGGGAATTCAGCATTCTGAATGCTGAATGTTTCCTTTGACTTGAACGCTGTCGGCAAGTCGCAAGGCCCTGCGCCGTGCAGTAGCGGTTCGTAGAAGTTGACCTCCGATCGCTATCAAAGTGTGACAGTCAGTATCGGTTGGTATTTTGGTCTGGTTGTCGGGGCTACTGACTACTACTAGCAATCTCCGAGCTCAAGCAGCAACCTCCGTTGTAGACTAGCTGGTTAGGATACTCGGCTCTCACCCGAGAGACCCGGGTTCGAGTCCCGGCAACGGAATTTTTTTATATTCCTGTTCCTATTACGATTTACGGCAATCTGCCGTCCTCCGCGGTAGGCTGGTGGAGTGGTGGCCGGCCGGCACGGTGGCCTTCTAGCTAGCGTGCGCCGACCTTGTCAGGTGATACGAAGACAAGCACATGCATGCTCCGGCGCACGCCGCACCCCTCAATATCGTATTCGCGGTGGTTCGTGTGCGCGCGGTGTGCCTGTACCGCTAGCTGTACGCCATGTACGGCGGCGGTGTTGTCCCTTGTGGTGGGTGCGAGCTTGCTAGGTGCTAAACCAGTGTGCCCATCGTTCAACCACTCGCGCGTGAGCCGCGCCGGTTGCGCGAACATGCCACGAGGGGCCACGGCGTACTCTATCCCACCGACACTGGGCGATCCATCGATCGACGGGCTCAGCCAGCCAGCCACCTCACGATCGAGATCTGGACGGTACGTCGCCTGAATTACTCTGTGTGCTAGCATTAGCTCGTCCGTACGTCGTGAGTACGTACGTAGACAGGCAGGAAAACCCCATAGCCTCCCCTGATCAGCAGCGCACTGCTGTACGCATTACCGGTGAAAATGCCAGTGGGACTACCGGACTATGGCTGTGTTTAGTTGAATCCAAAGTTTGGATTTTGGTTGAAATTGGAGATGATGTGACTGAAAAGTTGTGTGTGTATGACAGGTTAATATAATGAAAAAGGACTGAAGTTTAGATCCAAACTTTGGATCTAAACACAGCCTATACAATCAAGCGGGTAGGTTTCGTCATTTGAGTAGCTAGTATAGTAGCAGTAGTTAGTAGTACTACGTATACGTACTGGACAGGCTTAATGTGCTACAGCACAGCAGAGTTGCATATTTAGGCTGTGTTTAGTTTCACACTAAAATTAGAAGTTTGAAGAAAAAAATTGAAAATTCATGTGTGTAGGAAAGTTTTGATTTGATAAAAAAGTTTAAAGTTTAAAGAAAAAGTTAGGAACTAAACTCAACCTTACATTACCAGTTTACCACCCTTCTTTTATAAGCATAGCATAAGCTGGGGTGTGTTTAGTTCACGCTAAAATTGGAAGTTTGATTGAAATTGGAACGATGTGACGGAAAAGTTAGAAGTTTGTGTGTGTAGGAAAATTTTGATGTGTAAAAAAGTTTTGATGTGATGGAAAAGTTGGAAGTTTGAAAAAAAAAAGTTGGTAACTAAACAATGCCTAGTATGGACTTTAGGCTGTGTTCGCACATGCTGTTCCCATTCCCAACAGTAATAATGGAAAACGGAGCAGTATATTAGCGCGTGATTAACTAAGTATTCCCTCTGTACTCGTAAAGGAAGTCGTTTATGACAGCGACACGGTCTCCAAAACATAACTTTGACTTCTTTTTTCTATAAAAATATTTATTGAAAAATGATATATGTATATGTCGACGGGGGATACCCGTAGACCGGATATAGAGGGTATTGGGGTACGCTGGTATGAGGATCTACGTAGTATGACATCAAGCAAACAAAAGACAAGAATTATACTGGTTCAGGCCACTTGGAAGGTAATAGCTCTAATCCAATTGATATGAGATTATATGATGGAAACCACATATTACAAAGGGAATAACAGAACTCGATGATACCGACAAGACCGTTGTCGAGTTGGTTCGACTATATCACCCGGCGACTTGGCTCCTGTAGGCTCCAGCTTCGTAGGCTGTGGTGGATGTGTTGACAATGAGATTCGATGCCTTAGGTCCTGCCCAGGGGGTCCATTTTATATCGCGGGTCAGTTGATCTCCAAGTAGGACTCGGAGATATCGGACCCCTCACGATATGGTAAAGACCCAGTCTTGTCCGAGTAGGACTCATTCCATCTGTAAATTTTGTTTCTATCACGTGATAGATTTCCTTAATGTACACAGGAATCATCCGTATACGCGCGAGTATACCGCATCAGTATACAACGTATGTCCAAGAATAGAGGGTATACCTTATCCGTAACCCTGACAGTATATATTTATGAAAGTATTTTTCAAGACAAATCTATTCATATAATTTTTATATTTTTAAACTCAACAACTTGAGAGTTATTAATGATTTATATTCCCAAGATCTGACTTAAACATTACCCTAAACGACTTCCTTTATAAATATGGAGGGAGTATTAGCTTTTTTTTTAAAAAAAAATGGATTAATTTGATTTTTTAAGCAACATTCCTATAGAAACTTTTTTTTTAAAAAAACACCGTTTAGCTGTTTGAAAAACGTACACACTAAAAACGAGAGAGAGGGGTTGGGAAAAGGGGATACCGAACAGAGCCTTAGTACTACTGGTAGTTCAGTAAGGCTGTGTTTAGTTCACACTGAAGTTTGGAAGTTTGGTTAAAATTGATACGATGTGATAGAAAAGTTGTATGTGTATAAAAGATTTGATGTGATAAAAAGTTGAAAGTTTAAAAAAAAATCCTTTGGAACTAAACAGGGCCTAATTCAGGTGCTCCGTTTTCACCACGAAGTAAAAGGAACCCGTTAGCTCCACCTGAAGTCCTGAACCGGATGCTATAGGAGTACTTCGGCCGGGGTGCCACTCAAGTTGCAGTTTATGATGAAACCAAGGAAGGAGGAGACCGGCGTGCCTAGGTGCTCACTTTCTTGTCAGGACGGCTGCAGGTCTGCAGGTACCCTGTCTCCTGTTTGTTGGGAGGCCAGTCGATCACCATCTCATCAATTCTTTTCACTTCCTTCTATTGCTCTGCTCCTACCTGTCTTCATCGGTGAATCGCGAGATAGCTTGGTCCGATCCGATGAAAGTAGCTGAGCGCGAGAGGACGGGTCGACAGCTAGAGTTTGTTCCGGTTGCCAAATCGGAGTAACATCAGGACGGATACGGTTGATGCCAACCGGAACGAGCGATGCACATCACATACTCACATCCAGGCTGTACTTTGGGAAATGATGCAAAGGGAGAGGAGACAGAGGGTTCAATTCAGAGAGGACAAGCAGCACGGCCCGGAGTATAAATGGACGAAGCGTACACACATTTATGGATCCGGTTGCTGTTACAGTAATAACTGGAGCCGCCCGGGTAAAAGTTTGAGGTGATGAGTACTCACTACTTCTAGTACCAAAGAGGGGAAAAACGCAAAGCCGGCCGGAGAGAGCCGGCAGGCGGGCAGGGTAATCGATCCCATTTCGCTGAAGCGTTGCAGAAGGCTGCTGCACTGGCTGTGCTGAAGCGCCTGGTCCTACTACTATCTCGCCTGATGCATCGCACCGCTTCATGCAGGAGGCACGTACCCATCATTTCGTCCGAAATATAATCTGTACACCATGGATCCTTTGTGGCGTGCAGCACCTGCACCATTTGGTGAGCGCTCAGCTGGCTTGCATCGGCGGAGATCAAATTTTAAGAGTAAAATTTTAAAACGGAATTGCTAACATCCATGTGACAGAAATTTAGTGGAGAGTTCTATCGATTTTTAAACCATCAGATCCGTGCCATGATTCACATTGATCTCTTCATCCAGCTCCAATGAGTAGTGTAACTTCAGCGAGGCGGCGGACCCTCGACTAGTTAGGGTTTAGGGTGTGAGACAGTGAGAGTGGGGAAGGGGTTTTTTTTTCTAGGGCTTAGAATGATAGCCATGGATAGTGAAGGGCTAGCGAAGTAGCGGTGAGCGATGTACATGGGCGAACAACAAGACAGTGTTACCGAAACAGTGGGAATAGAGGAGGATGGTGGGCGAGCATTGAAGGCGGGGACGATGGGCCGATGCAAGCAACGTTGGAGAGCTTACTCCTCTTGTATTGTCGAGCGATGTAGGAGAGAAGAAGAAAATGAGAAAGGATAATGTTACTTTTTATGTATGAATCTTGATGCAACTCGAGGAAAATCTAAAGTTCTCTGTCAAATTTTGCAATAGACAGCCCCATTTAAATAAATCCTAGGTTTTACAAATGTCAAACTTTCCATAAAACAATAACGCACTATATGAGATGGAGGAAGTATTATTTGCTTTTGTTGGTGCACATCCGTAGCATTTATGTCAATTTGTCATTTGATATTTTTCTATTTGACTATTTATATTCCAAATTAGTCATTTATCAACAAATATATCCTAACACAGCAACATTTTTGTCATCCAAGATTTTTCATCAAACAATAAAAGTTAGGTGATACAAAATCATTACAATATCACATGTCAAATGGAGAATCTATTAAAGGTTGTCTCCTAATACTATGCCACAATAAAGACTAGCTATACTTTATTAGTGAGTATGCCAAAGATAGAAATAAGACAAGCTTAATGATGGATTTTATGTGTTCCCCAGATGTCGATGCGCCAACAACAAATCCATATAAGAAAAATCAATACCCAACTTAAAAATGATCTCTACAAAAACCCACCACAGGCCCCTCTACACTCCACAGTCCACAGCACACAAACGAACACAGCTCCACTTGGCACGGATAATCGAGATCTCGGTGTGGCCGAACCCCGCCCAGCGCCAAGTCCATGTCGACGAGGAGAAACCCACGAGGGGTGGTCATTCCCGAGTCCCCATCTGGCCATCTCTCCAATCTCCATGACAAAAAAATAACCAACCGGTCGAAAGAAAAATTCAACGAGTTGTGAAGACTTGTCCTCCAATTTCCCAACTCCCCAATCTGTCACCTCGCAGCTTCACGCTTCCACGCACACAGATCAAATCTCGAAATCCTACGACTCGTAGGATGGAGGAGTCGGAGTAGTAGTAAACGGCGATCGGATCGAATCGAATCATCGGCGCTGCTGCCTCCCCGAGCCGTGACCCCCCCCCTCCAAACCGCCGATAAGCTAAATTCATTCACACTCCACTTCACTCGCTCACGCTTCGCCGTCCGCGTCGCGTCGCGTTGCGTCGGCGGCGCCGCTGCACTGCACGCCTCGCCACCGGCGAGCGAAGGGAAGGAAGAGGAGGAGGAGGAGTTGGTGGTGGTGGTGGTGGCGCGGAGTCAGTGGCGGCGGCGGCGCGGGTGGAGATGAAGGCGAAGAGCCTCCCGTTCATCGCCTCGGAGCACAAGCGGTTCGTTTCGTCTCCCGCCGCCGCGGGCGCGCGCGCGCATCTCGGCGTTCGTGCCGGTGTTTGCTGTTTCTGATGTGTTTCTTCGGAAGTTTTTCGCCGGAGGTTTTTTGAAGTTTCTGCTGCACGAAACTTCCGCTTGCGTGTAGTTTACTTGCTTTTTTTTTCTTCTCGTGGTGATATTTTGCGCGGGGATCTCGATCTGATGCGAGATGTTGGGGCCAAATTTGGGCAATGCAGTCCTAGATCTCCGTGTGTACGATGTGATTAGTTTTTTTTTTTTTGCTCCCTCAGAAAGGAGTGTTTGAATCGTGTTAGCTTCTCTGATCCATGGAAGGATCGGAGTTTGTGTGGATGTCCGCTACAATCGAAGCAAATTAACTCGATTTTTTACGAGGCAGACATTGTAAACATGATAGGACCAAATTTTAGTTGGAATTTTTGGTTCTTTTTAATAAACTCACTAGAGTATGAATTTGGATTGGTTCCGGTCTTGTGGTACATAACTCGAGTACCAACGGTTCAGTATTAGCGGCATTCTCCTTTCTGTTTCTGATGCTATTGTGGATGGTGCAGGGATGCATATGGATTCGCTGTGCGGCCACAACACTTGCAACGGTACAGAGAGTATGCAAACATCTACAAGGTAGAAAAGCTGCACCTGGTGATGCCTCCATTTGGTACCTTCTTGTTCCATCTCGCTGAGTTGCATTGCATAATCTCCAGGAGGAGGAAGAGGAGAGATCTGAGAGATGGAAGAATTTTCTGGATAGCCAAGCTGAGTACGATGAATCATCCGGAGAGGATCAGGATGCCAAGGTTTCACCATCCGCTGAGGATGAAGAAGCTGGCAAGAAAGCTGAGGATGGCAGGTCCAAATTGTCAGACGAACAGAAAGTGAAACAGCAGAGACCACATAAGATTCAGATATGGTCGGAAATAAGGCCCTCCTTAGGCCACATTGGGGAGATGATGAGCTTGCGTGTCAAGAAGAAGCAATCTTCTGCAGATAAGGAGAATGCAGCGAATGAACTCCAATCTGCAAATAATGAAGAAATCAAACCCTCAGAGGACTCCGATGATGAGTTCTATGATGTAGAGAAAGTTGATCCCAACCAAGAAGGGCCTGTAGCTGATAGTGCTGATGCTGATTCAGGCATGAATGTTGATGCGAATCAAGAAGGGCATTATCCTTGGAAGGAAGAATTGGAATGCCTAGTCCGTGATGGGTTGCCAATGGCTCTGAGAGGAGAGGTACATCGTGCTCTTCATATTAATCTTGTTTAGATTTTTTTATTGCATTAAATCAATGGCCCCTCTTCGTTTTGGTGACAGCTATGGCAAGCTTTTGTTGGTATCGGAGCTCGTCGGGTGAAAGGCTACTATGAGTCTCTCCTTGCAGCTGATGATGAAAGAGAGAACAGCAAAGGTTCTGATTCTCCAACTATGGAAGGGAAACCAAAAGGATCGCCATTTTCTTCTGAAAAGTGGAAAGGGCAAATAGAGAAGGTAGATGGATAATTTAATTGTTATTATTGGAATTTAACTCTCTCCATGCTATGGTGATTTTACTAATATATTTGGGAGTCCTGCGCTAAGAGGTTAATCTGTTGCTTTGGGTTCTTTTTAGGATTTGCCTAGAACGTTCCCAGGTCATCCCGCACTAGATGAGGATGGCAGAAATGCTTTAAGACGCTTGCTCACAGCTTATGCGAGACATAACCCATCAGTTGGTTACTGTCAGGTATGGCTTTCCCTTACTTCTGACTCATGTCACTTTTCTTGTCACTGGATTGATGTAGCTTCTTTGGGAAACCTTGCATATTGCAAGACCAATCTGTTGCACATGTAATTCTGTTTGCACTGTTGCCCAAGATGTAGCCTCATCTTTTCGCTTATGCTTATGCTTATCAGCCAAAATTTGAATTTTCAACCTTGAATTTGAAGTTTTTTCATCGAAGTTTATTTTTCAGCCTTTGCTTTTAGATCACTAAGAACACATATATAAAAGTTTTGTTCACAAATTATTTTTCGTTTGCAAATATGCTGTTTGGCTTATTCCTCCAACAAGCCAACCGATGGGCACCTTTTAGCCGGCCTAATCAGCGATTAGGTGCAGCTAGGTAACAATCTGCCACACAACTAGCGCCTTGGTGAATGCTGGCTATTTGAATATTGATAAGACTGAAAACATGCACCAACAGGGCAACACCAAAACACATATTTCTTATTTCACCATAAAACTGAAGTTCTGAGCATAGTATTTCTTACTCCCTCCGTTTCACAATGCAAGTCATTTTAGCATTTCCCACATTCATATTAATATTAATGAATCTAGACATATATATTTATCTAGATTCATTAACATCAATATGAATGTGGGAAATGCTAAAATGACTTATATTGTGAAACAGAGGAAGTACTCTTCTTTGTATATGATTCTTCTGAACGTCTTTTTCAAGGTGAAGTACTGGATGATACTGATAAACCCTTTGTATAATTTGCAAGCTACATGAGTGTACTATTAGTAGATAGAAACTTCAGATAAAACTAAAATGCACATCTACAGTTGTTTTGCTTATTGATATACCTGCACTCCAGTTGTTTTTATTGATGGTAGGTGCGAACCAATGCTCATGGAGCATTATGCATAGTCATGCCAACTCTTTTCAAAGTGTAGCTTCTGCTGATCAAGAATTCATTATTCATTTACTGAATTCCTTTTTATTCCCCGCTTGAAGGTCCATTATGTTATTTGACTTGTACCTTCTTCCTTTACGATTTGACATTAGCAGTTCCCAAACTTGCACACACTGCTCAGTGCTGTTTTACTTTTATTCCCCGATGTTAGTTGAAATCTTTTTGAAATATTATCAAAATATCTTGTAAATTTCTGAAAATCACCAAGTGTCATATAAAAAGGAATCTAGAGGTCAAATATTGTTTCTATGTATGTATTTTTTTAAAAAAACTTTTTAATGGTAAAATTTACTCACAGAGAGATCTTCTCTTGTTATTCAATAACCACTATTCTATTTGCACAATTATATGGTCCCCAAAAATTTTGACTTTATGCCACTAATGCTGGTCTCAGCTAAGATCAATCATCTGGATATGCAGGCAATGAATTTCTTTGCTGGTCTGTTACTTCTCCTAATGCCAGAGGAGAATGCATTTTGGTAGGTTTTGCAGAAGAACACCCATGGAATTTCTGTGTTCTCTCAAGTTACATCTCTTGTTGCATTGTATTAGAGCTGAACTAAAAAGTTTGTTAAATCTATTATCTGTTCGCAGGGCATTGACAGGCATTATGGATGATTATTTTGATGGCTACTTTTCTGAAGAAATGATAGAATGTCAGGTATTCTTAAGTATTATCTTTTGTTCTGTTAGTGTTTGCATGTGCCATTATGTGCTTATAGCTCCAAACTTCACTATTCATCATTAAATAAGCTACACTTCGTTTTTTCTTTAGGTTGATCAGCTTGTTTTAGAGGAGTTAGTCCGGGAGAAATTTCCAAAACTAGGTTTGCGCATTATTCTTGTTTGTATTAAAATATCTGTATATCATGACTTGGCATATATGTTAACCGACAATTTTGACTACTTTTATGCATGGTTTTTTGCAGTAAATCACCTGGATTACCTCGGCGTTCAAGTTGCATGGGTTACTGGACCATGGTTTCTATCTATATTCATGAACATGCTACCATGGGAAAGTGGTAAGTCTTATTTTTCTTTATTTGAAAGAGTAATTTCGGAAAGGTTTTATGGTCGAAGTCGTAGAAAACCATGGGTATTTTGGCTTGTGGTATACATCCCTACATTCATTCATATCTCAATTAATTTTAGCATATCTGAAACAATATTATTCAAAGTAATGAAGAGTTAAACCAATCACCTTAACCAATAAATAAATAATTCAGAATTCTGTAGATACTTTCTGAAACGAAAGTTTGAGTAAATATGTGTCCAAGATGACAATATGTTATATTGTTTGGAATATAAATAGGGTTTAGGGTTTTGTGAAACCATAGGACCGTAGTACCTGAGGTTATCTACTACAAGTCATTATATCTAGGGTTTTGTGCAACTTCGACCATAAAATATGGGGTTTTCTGAAATTTACTCTATTTTAAATGTTATCATTCTGAGAAAGATTTTTGTCAACTGCAAGACTATATGTTACAATCTCTTTTTTTTTGTACTTGATCTAATAATATATCTAGCTATTATATTATCTCGAAATATGCTTAATACTTAATTGCTATTTGAACATTTCAGTCCTTCGAGTTTGGGATGTGCTTCTGTTTGATGGAAATCGCGTGATGCTCTTTCGAACAGCTCTTGCCCTAATGGAGTTGTATGGTACTGGGTCGATCTTTTGCATTTTTGTCGCTCAAACAATTGTAACAAAAAAAAGTTTGTATAATCTCAGGATATATATTGGTCACTGCATGAATACTTACCACTGGTGTTGGTTACAGGTCCTGCGCTTGTGACAACAAAGGATGCTGGGGATGCTGTGACCCTTTTACAGTCTTTGGCTGGTTCTACTTTTGACAGCAGCCAACTTGTTTTAACTGCATGCATGGGTTATCAAGCTGTAGACGAAGCAAGGCTGCAAGAACTGCGAAATAAACACCGGCCATCTGTTATATCTTCAATGGAACAGAGAGCAAAAGGTCTTCGTGTTTGGAGGGACACCAATGGCCTTGCGTCAAAGCTCTATAATTTCAAGCGTGACCCTGAACCATTGGTGTCTTTATCAACAGAACAATTAAGTGACTTGACAGAAACTAGTTCTGGAAGTACAGATGACATGTATAGTGGCCTGACTGTCAACACTGAGATTGATTCTTTGCCTGATCCAAAAGACCAGGTATCCTTCTCAAAATAACACTTCTTTCACCCCTAAAATTATCAATTATGGTTTCAAAAAAATTCAGCAGACAAACTAAATAAGTCAAAAAGTCGTGTATAAATATTTAATCAATACTGTTCTCCATGTTATAAGTGCATACAGTGTCACGCATGCTTAGGATTTCAGGAAACTGTTTGCATCCATTCTTTTCATATTTTTGGCAAATTTTATTTGGGGTAGAGGACGACTGGTGAGATAAACAAGATGCATTATTATCCTTATGCTCTTGATAGGGCAAATCAGTTTTTTCTGAAGTAGACAGCTTGACTACTTCTGAAAGCAAACTGCTTTGGTCTAATATTTTGCATATTCACCAGAAAATAGCTTCTGTAGGGATTCTTTATGGTTTATTTCTCCATATTCACAATATGAGGATTGAGAGCTCATGGCACAATAGAGCTATAGAGAATAGATGTTATGATTTGTTTTGGTTATCATTTAAAGAAAATAGAATGATGTACTATTGATGGTTTCCTTTTGTTGTTTTAGAATATTGGTTTTGGTTTCCTTTTGTTGTTCATGGCACAATACTATTTGTTTTAGTATATCGGTTTTGGCTTCCTTTTGCTGTTTTTTGTTAAGTACGATTGATAGTTGATACTTTATACTTGGTGGTGGTTCTGTTATTTCAGGTGGTCTGGCTGAAGGTTGAGTTATGTCAACTGCTGGAGGAGAGAAGATCAGCTGTTCTGAGGTATCTTTGTTTCAAATATCCAAAGATTTCATCCTTCAGTTGCTTGAATAGTTTCAGATCTACATGGCATAAACAAAGATGTCTACGATGCAAGTATTAATAATGGGACTTTATGTCAACCCGGTGACTTCTTGTCCTGTTTACAACCGGCAGTATATAACATATATTAATCTATAGCTGGTTGACCATGGTCTATTTCATGGCAATTCCTAGCAGATTCTGGTTCATGTGTAAGTAGTTCATTATATCTAAAAGAAAAAGTGAAAACAGTTATGATTTGTCCTATAGGTGGCCCAAAAACTCACTCAATCTTTTATGGTTTCTTGAGAAGGAAATAGTTGATCCTATATATCAACTATGAGTGTACTCAAGGTGGTCGAAATTACACAAATTATCCGCTGAAAACCCTAATTTTGACCGGGCCATGAACCTGTGACCTTTGGTTTATAAAAGTTGTGCTGAACTCCTCAGCCAATGAACGATGTGACTGGTTGACCAATTGTATTTTCAGGTGTACTTAGGTGGTATTCTCATGTTCCCATTTTTATGTTGCCAAGCAAATACTTAGTATTAGCTGCTGGAAATTCACAAACAAATGCTACCATTGAGGGTTTGCTAAATTGTTCTTGCATCTTCTCATCCAAATCCAGGGCTGATGAATTAGAGACAGCGCTGATGGAGATGGTTAAGCAGGATAATAGGCGGGAATTAAGCGCAAAGGTTAGCATTGAACTACTGTTTTCTATGGCAGTTGCATTTTTTATTCCATCACCTGTTATTATTTAGCTCTATTTTGTTGCCTCTACTGTTGAATTCATATTGCTGCGATCTTGTGTTTTAACCCAAAAATTGTGAAATAATATCTCCTTTCCTTTTGATAACCAATTTATCAACTAGGAAACTCATATATATCATTGGTCCACCTCACTGACTGGACATTTCTTGTTTTCCTGGAGGCTTGGGGCATGGTTGTTCTCATACTTGCATTTCCATTTTTCTAGGTCGAGCAATTGGAACAGGAGTTATCTGATCTAAGGCAAGCTCTATTAGACAAGCAGGAACAGGAGCAAGCAATGCTTCAGGTGTAGTAGCTACCAATATGTTGCTCTGAATAAACCTTGTCACTACTACATCATGCCTTTTACTACTGGTTTATCTAGTTATAAACTAACTAGGTAATGCATGTAGGTCCTGATGCGTGTAGAGCAAGAACAGAAAGTCACTGAGGATGCGCGCATATTCGCTGAGCAAGATGCTGCTGCTCAGAAATATGCTGCACATGTGCTCCAGGTTAGTTTAATTTCATCGATTATCTATGTACTGTATTTTTTTCTGTTCTAATGCTTATGTCATGTTGAAACATGAAATGGTCATTCTTTTCTTGATTGCACCTGGAGGACAGCACTGTTTCTAATAATTTCCTCTGCAATGGATTAGCCAACTAGATATGTTTGTGTAACTATATGCTTCATTAGTCTATACATTATTTGAACTCTGTAATGCTTTTATTCATGGAATGGACTCCATTTTGCTGTCATTTTTTTTGACATATAATCTAGCAAATACATGCCTGTTCAATATAATGATTCTCTTGTTATAACATTTGACTTTGTATGCAGGAAAAGTATGAGGAAGCTATGGCTTCACTAGCACAAATGGAGAACAGAGCAGTCATGGCAGAAACTATGCTGGAAGCAACACTGCAGTATCAATCAAGCCAGCAAAAGGCACAATTGCCATCCCCTTCACCTTCTCCAAGGTATTATGGTATTATAGCATTCTACACACACTGGCATGGAAAGTTGGAAACTGATAAATTAATTTATTGAATGCAATAATATATCCTTTCTTTTTATGGTATGGAAGTGTTGGTATGCTATTACATAAATGCAATAATATTCAATACTGGCAAAATGTTCTGTGAAAAATTCCAGTCATTTGCTTTATACCAATTGTCCCTGTGTGTAACCTTTTTATTTTTAGGACACCAACAAGGGATGCATCACCTGGCCAAGTGAACCAAGATTCATCACAGGAGTTTCAACCTAGAAGAATAAGTTTGCTTGCTCCGTTTTCCCTTGGCTGGCGTGACAAGAACAAGGTAATTTTTATTGGAAAGTGGATTACTGGATTCCTTTCCTGTGTAGTGACAATAAATCTCTTTCTAGTCTAAAAAAACTCATAGTCCAGCATGAGGACCATTGCAATTATTTATATAGCAGACTGCAAAGATGGTGAAATATTTTGATGTCTTTTACCTTTATGATTGTGATCAAGCAGTGTGATCCATGAAATGTCCTTCTATGCTAATTGTTACTAATGGTCGTTATATTCCGAACAATAATCCACATCATAGTTAAATTTAGTTTACCATATCACTTAAACTTCTTATCTATTGATTTGCATCAACTTGACCATTATCCAGATATCATAGTTAAATTTAGTTGCTGATTTAAACTATAGTACCAAGGTAGGCTAGAGTTTTCCCCTTTTTTTTTGGGAACTGACTTCACTTGCTATTGTTTCTTAACAAACATGTTGAATGTAACCTGGTTTGTGACTTATATCTGGAAATAACATTACTTGTTTACAAACCCTCTCAGGCATAATATTGATCGACGCATTTCTCTCGTCTTAGAAGTATATGGCTTTAAACAATGAGATATGAATTGCTATGCCCTTTATTATTTCGTGATATCAATCTTTTTTTTGACACGTTGTGATATCAATCTGGCGCCGTTGATTCTTTACAGGGCAAACAGAATATCTCCGACGAGTCAACAAACGGCAATCTTAATAGCAATACTGAGCAAATGGTTGACACACCCAAGAAGGATGATGAAAAGCAAGGAGACTCTCCACAGGAGGGTGAACAAAGAGTGGATACACCCAGAAGAGATAGTGAGCACAGATTAGACACGCCGGAGACCACAATAAAGTTGGAAGAACAGTTGGAAGAAATAAAGTTGGATTGATAATCACAAGCCCACCCATCGGCGAATTTTTACCAATATGGTTAACTACTGCCGTGGTATTAAAGGGTAGTTCAAGCCACAATCTACGGCCAATATAAAAGTATGTGTTGTATTTATTCTTTTTATTTATTTTCTCCTACTCCCTTTTCCTTCTTAATTTTGTCTTTGTTTTGCAACCATTTTTTCCTAGGTTTATAGATTTAATCTTTTTAGCCACGGGTTGATGGGAGAGAATAAATTGTGTTTATTCATTCAATCAGGATGAGTTGTAAGTTATCGATAGGCACATGAAAAATGTATGAAATGAATGAATCTACCAGCAATTTATGAAAGAGAACGTCACTATTGGCATCAACATCACCGAGAATTACTGTTGCTGTTGCATTTTCTGGTTGCCTTTCTTATTTGCTACTTCGTACTCCTGTATTTTTTACATACTGACACGTGACATGTAAAAAAGACTTTACATTTTTCCCATTTAATACGGAGTATTTGAAAGGCGAGGTCGTCCACAAGCATGGACGTTAGTACTTTATCCAGTATGGTCATGTGTGGTGATGCAGATGCAAGTTTTAGTGCTACTGTGCTGTATATGGCTGTGGAAGCTGGAAGCATGGAATGACCTTGGCAATTTTCAGCAGATGGTCCAGATATTACTATGGAGCCAGGATCAAAATGATCTTTTGATAACAGGAAAATATAGAGACTTGCTATTGGTCAGTTCATTGAAAATAAGGAAAACATTTTAATGGCCAGGATCGCTTCAAGATTCTCTCCTCACTCCTGCGTTCGGAAGACAGTCTTCCCAACCCATGGTGCGCACACAGAAAACGGAGCTGTCCATTAGCACGTGATTAATTAAGTATTTGCTATTTTTTTTCAAAAATAAATTAATATGATTTTTTAAGCAACTTTCGTATAATTTTTTTTTAAAAAAAACACACTGTTTAGCAGTTTGAAAAGCATGTGCACAGAAAACGAGGGGGAGAGGATAGGAACTGGCAATGCCGAACACAGTCTCGTGGTGCCACTTGTGTACTGCGGACCGGAATGAAATAACGAGAAGCCCACCGGTCACTCCTTTCCTCTCGTTAACAACATCCTCAAGAAGTTTAAGCAGGAGAATGGAGGAGGAAGACGACGACATTTTTACCCAAAAAATTTGTAGAATGCCTTGAAGGGGTACATAGTGGCATATATCAAATAAGAAAAATTATAATAACATGTTTACAAATTGATGAATAGTAATGATATATTTTAAAACCGTGAAAATTATAATGGCATGGACCCAATTAACCTAATATTGTTTGCCATAGAAAGATGATTTTGTTTACTGATCCGATTGAATGATAGCAACGCGGCCGCGGCTTTAGGTGCGGGGCTCACGCACTGCACGTGCACGGTGGTGGTTTGAGTGGCATAGTGCAGCCATCAGCACATCAGTGTCCCTTCCCCACAGCAGAGGCCACCGCAAAAGGAGCCCCACCAATCACCACCATCTATCGATGCACCAACCGCTCCTCCTAAAACACGCCCAATTTTGCCATGTGATCCATGCTTTCCCCCACCCCCATCTGCTCCCGCATGTGGGCCAACAAAATGTAAAGTAGCCCTACGAATCTATAAGTATCACGTGACACGGTCTGGAGTGCAATAATTTGGAGTCCTCTCTCTAACAGCTTCTGTCACAGACAGATGGGTCAGTGAGTGACTTTACGTTTCTCCTACCGTTCATGTAATCATGTTTAGCACTTAGTACTCTGATGCTAAACAAATTTTCTTAGATTCTTCGATCCTCAGCTGTAGTGCCTAACAGCGCAATTCAATTAATTAACTCAAAATCTAATGAGCACTTAGTGTAATTAATTAATTCAAAATCTAGTGAGCACTTAGATCTTGTTTGTTTTTTCAACTCCAGACTTTAGTTTTCTTATTTTTCATTAGTACGTTTTTTAAATTGTTAATGATGCATTTTAAAAAATTCTATATAAATGTTGTTTTTAAAAAAATCAAATAAATTATCTTTTTAAGTTTATAATAGTTAATATTTAATTAATCATGTGCTAATAAACTTTCTTCTTTCGCATGCACCGAATATCTTTCTTCAAACTCATCTAACGAACGAAACCCAAGCATCTAGCATCTCTGCCTACATATCAATAAACTAATTGTCAATTTGCCATGAGGTTTAAACTTCTTAAGTGGTCTAATCACCACGGGGTTAACCAAACCTAATCATGGAGGCTTTAAAGATGACCCCTTTCCCCCCCAAAAGAAAGCGGCAAAATGGTGAGGAGTGAGACTTGTGACAAAGTTGTGAGTTGTGACTCAGCTCACACTCTCAACAGAAGCGCAAACAAACACATGACTAAAAACAAAAGTGAAATTATTGCGGGACCCCAACTGACAGAACATGTGAGTAATCAAGGATAAATGAAAAACGCGCAAACCAACGCCACATGGCTAAAAACTTCCGCTATAAATCAGTGGTGCCTTGCACTTGCACACTCCATCTCCAACTCTCCAAGCCAGCCCAGCAGCACTCTCCTTCTCCAGGCTCCAGCAAACACACAAACCACGGAACCACCACCACCACCAGCAGCAGCAACAGCAGCAGCTCAGAGGAGAGGAGAAGAGCAAGTTAAAACAACTTACAAGCAATGGAGTACAGCTATCCCTGCAACAGCTGCAGCTGCAACAAGGAGAAGAGGCCTCCGCTGAAGAGGGGGCAGCTCAAGCTGCAGATCGCCAAGGCCCTGGGCAGCCTCGTGGTGCCCGGAAAGAACAGGGATCACAGCTTCAGGAGATGAGCGTCGTGGTGCCCCGGAGGCAAGAACTGGGAGCCACAGCTCAACACTTGAGCAGCAGCGCCTGCAAACTGATGGAAGTTCTGGTGTACTACGGTGGTGGGCATAGGAATTGTGCATAGTTGTTGGTGTGTAGTTTTCCCCCCTTTCCGCCCCGTAGCGTATGGCTTGAGACTTCGAGAGTATCTCGCTTCCTCGGCAATTGCTTTGTTCTTGAGTGAAGAAATAGTTAGGGAGAGACTCGGAGGTGTGTTCCTGGCAGTCTCATGTCTGGTTTGGTAATGTACTGATGTGCAGCATAATTTTGATGGTAATGAGAGTGTTATTAGTACTTCCTTACACTGTTACTAGTACGTCGAGATGCAGCTGCATTCGTATACGTACCCAAAGTCTCCGTCTCCAGCCTCCAGGGGCTCCATGTTCCGTAGCCATCGGTCTAAAGCCCCTCCGCTCCGCCACCGCTTCCGCTATCAGCCCATCTGCCGAGCGCTAACTGCCATGATAGATCGCCAGATCCTTCGAGTTACCCGGTCCCCGCTGGCCGCTGCGCCTTCCCTGACGAAGGCACCGCGCCGGCGGGTTGCCTTCATTCTCCGATTCGCTGGTTCGCTGCACGGATTTGCTGGTGTGCTGGTTCGTGCGTGCGCGCCGCTGCCATGACCACGGTCCATGAATCCACGGGGACCACGGGGTACGCGGACGCAAGTAGCACGTGACAGCCTCACAACCGATTGCCATCAGGCGGTGATGTGCACGGCACCGTGCGACGAGTCGGGATTGGGAAGACCCACATGTCAGTTAGCGCAGTACTGCAGGGCATTTTATAATTGGAACCAATGAATGAACCGCGGAGTGAAGTGATACGACCGGGTGTCGCTACGCTAGCGGGTGATCCCATAAGTCGTCCCAACGTCGCCCTCCACGCCATCGCTAGTTTGGCCGTTTGCCCTCGTCCGTGGTATCTCTACCGGACACTGGATACTCCTCTGCATTTTTTAGGCATCCATAATCTGAGACACTCTTAGAGTAAAGTACTCGCCCTTACAATACAGGGTAGCTCAATAAGTGTCCCAACCCAAAAAAACATATTTCTCTCTTCTTCCTCTCTTTCCTATTCTACCCCTCTCTTCCCCCTCCTCTCTCTATTTCTCCATCGCACGCACGCGAGAGCGCACCGAGTCACCGTCGCCGCTCTCTCTCCCACCGCTCTCTCCCTCTCTCTCTCTCTCTCGTGGAAGGTAGCGGCGGTGACCCCGGAGGCAGCAGATCCGGTGCCGCCGAAGCCGGATCTAGCCCCCCGGCAGATGGAGCAGCACCGGCCACGCCACATCGAGGTGGCGGACGGCAAACTCGAGGCGGCAGACGACGAGCGCGCGGCGAGCTCGAGGCGGACGAGGCGGCGGCCGGACGAAGCTTCGTCGGCGAGGGCGACGAGAGTAGCCTACTCCGCCGCGGATCTGTCGCCTCCGCCACCCCCGCCGCGGATCTGACATCCCGGCGCCGTCCTAGGTCGTCGCCGCCTCTTGACTCTCCCTCTCTTTCTCCAGCCGCGCCTCCCTCTCCTTCTCGCCACTGCCGCCGGCGCCACGCCTCTCTCCTTCTCTCTCCCATCGCCGGCGGCCGTGACTGAGTGCGATGAGGAGCTCCATCGGTGTCGCCGAGGAGCTCGAGGAGAGGGGAGAGGGGTGGAAGAGGAAATCCTCGCTCTTGGGGCGTCGCCTCAAGCACCCGTACCCACGCAACGGGTTCCTTCCACCGGCGCCTGGGCGAAAAGGAGCTGGGGGAGCGGGGGGGGGGGAGGGGGCACATCTCCCAGCTAAGGGACGCGCTCTCACCAGGGGACGGCGCCGATGGAAAAGGGGACGGCCGTCGCTAGGGGCACGGGCTGAAGCACCGCATTGGTGATAGCCTTATCTACAGTCAAAAGTTACTTTGCCACAGCAGAATAATAACAACAATAAGAAGAAAGCGTGTTTCAATAATGGCGCTAATCTATGGATTAGTTACAGTATTAATCCCGCGGACGAATCACTATGCTGGATCGGTACGAGATTTATCATAGATCTCCACTGCGCGAGAAAATTCCCTCAAATCCGGTCCAGATTTGCTTAATGCAACACTCAGCCAGTCAATTGTGCTGGGTGACTGGATCATTCCAGAACTAAACAAAACCATAGCACACTGACCTCCCGGCTGTTCTTATCAGGGAGGATAACCAGCTTCTCTGAACAGTGAACGCACAAGCACAAGGAGCTAATGATATGATGAGATGGATGATTATATTAGACAGAAAAAAAGTGTCACTTAATCATTGGACATCATACACGTTAGCTAGCTAACTCATAGTATGTCCGTATCACATCGCCACATAGGAATACCACTCAGACTATGTAGCACGATGCTAGGGAACTTGCAGTTAATAAAACGATAACTAATCTTGGGAATGATGTGCGCAATTATTAGGATCCGCAAGTTAGGCGTAAGTAACCAAGTGTGATATACTCTACTCCCTCCGTTACAGAATATAGCAACCTAATATCGGATGGGACGTATTCTAGTACTACGAATCTGACGGAGGGAGTACCAGTTAGGCTCAGAAACAGTGTGCCGTACCTGACGCCTTCTGCTGTTGCTGTTGCTTTCAATAGTTTTCAGCCCCTCAGTGCTCAGGTAAATATGTGATTTCGATCGGATTAAGAACAGCTAGTCCTAACTACGACTGCAATTTTAGGGTTACAAGTATCTGCAACCATTCATTTTGATGATCAACCATCCGCATTTATAGCTATACTGATCAAACCAAGAACCATAAACAATATTTTATTCTACAACACTTTTGTTATAGTGCTCTGACTAATTGGTGTCGTTTGATTCAGATCAAATGTACTCTAAGGATAGTCCCAACCCATAGTGTCCATAAACAGTATCTATGTGCCATGTCAATAAGACATCATAATAGAAACTACACTTTACAACCCATGGTTTCTTAAAGTGGGCCATTAATAAATACATCATCTCTCTTCTCTACCAATCATATTTGTTCTTCATTTATTATGAAGACATTATTCTCTCCCAATGCAAAACTTGACAGTGTCTAGTGCATAGGTTCTCGTGTTGAAGCCAGTTTTTTGCATGAGACCCAGTTTCTTCCTCTCTTCACTCTCTCTTAATTAATATAGTGCCACATAAGCTTAAATTTATACATGGCAATATAGTTAATACAATAGACATCATTCTAGGTGGAGGGTTGGAACTGCCCTAAGCAGCTATGCCTACATAAGTTGCAGTTAGTACTACAACTGCTGTTGCTGATCCAAATCCTTTGAGTTTATCAGTTAGGTCTAGCGGCGGACACATGAATTTAAGACTGGTCATTCACTTAATAATTGCAGACGCCCTTCTTACAAGTACTTGGTAGTCAGGACTATGGAATTTATAGAAATTGGTTAATGGTCTAGAAGTAGTGTGAGCCAAGAGCATGGAGGAATGGATTTATTGAGGAAAACCGAGTAAAGTATGAAGCGTATACTCCCTCCGTTCTAAAATATAGGGCATAACTACTTTTTAAAGGTGTTTCATAATATAAGGCGTGCATGCATGCATGGCAATTAATTAGCATCTATTCTCTCCTAAATTATTATTTTTTAAACCATACACTCATAAGATGTTTAATTCTATTGGGTGCATGTATTGTATTAGTTGGATTGATTCAAACAAAGAGATGATGGTAATTGTTTCTTGGTTTTTGAGTTAAAAGTGGTTATGTCTTATATTTTGGAATGGAGGAAGTATATATATGTATGTATATATGACACGGGTCACATGGCCAGTGATGGTGGTGGTGGGCTGGTGGCATGAAAATCACCACCACTACTATCTTTTAGAAGTATTCTCTCCACCTAAAAAAATTCAACCTAAAAAGTGACGTGACCTCTCCTAGTATAATAAATCTGGACATACTAGAAGGGGCCACACCCTATCCTAGGTTCAGTTTTTATTTTACGGAGGGAATAGTATAGATTATAAACTTAAAAAGTATATATATTTGATATTTTTATAACAACTTCTATCTAGAAAGTTTTTGCACAAAACACACCGTTTAGCAGTGTAAAATATGTGGTAATAAAACCGATAAAAAAATCTGCATCTTAAAAGTATTTTTGCGAACATATTTTGACTGACATCAAAATATTCAGACTGACCCAGTCTGAAATAAATCAGGAGGTCAGATCCAAAACAGTTTCCCAAACTCACCGATGAGAATGGAGAACCAACTTTTTTTTTCGGCGTCTCCGCTTGGCAGTATCGATGACGCGGCATCGATCGATCGTGACGTCCTCTCGGTGATGTCATGCATGCCCTTCGGTTCTTCTCTCATGATCGGCTGATCGGCTCAGCTCAGCTGCTGCTGCTCCTCGCTCCAGCTTTCGGTTCTTCTCTCATGATCGGCTGATCGCCTTTCGGTTATTCCCTAATGATCGCGCTTCTATCCCATACTAGAACAGAATCGATGATTATATCCTAAGCAGAATGGATTATGAGCAGAATGTGCAGCTTAGATTCGTACACATCCAGTTGGGAGCTACGAACATGTTCTGTTCAGTGTTCACTTGTGATGCAGCCTATTCCCTAACTCTTTAAGAAAACCAAACTAGAATTGAGGGCCTATTTGAATCGCAGGATTGAGAAAACGTAAGATTTTGATAGTAACGTAAGTGTAAAACAGAGCATTGCAAAACGCAGGAAAAACACAGGAATTACCGTTTGATTGAACCTCAGAAAAAACGCAGGAATTGGATGAGAGAGACTCAAAGGAAAGTTACCAAGAGATTAAGCTCTTGCTAAATTTCCTCCAAAATCTCTATAGGATTGTCCATTCCATACGAATTTCAAAGGATTCGATAGAATTCAATCATTTGTTTCAAAGGGTTTCATAGAAAATTTTTCTATAGGATTGAAATTCTACAAAATTCCTATATTTTTCCTCTAAATTAAAAGGCCCTGAATAGGATGTAACCTAATACAACGAATTTAGAGGAGCTTATGTTGCTCTCGATAGATGTGCGTGCATGCACGAGTCAGCAGTGCGTCAACCGCGGGTGGCCGGGCCCGGTCCGTCGCTGAATGCTGATGCCGTCAAGCTAGCGGCAGCCGGCGGCCAGTCGTAGCTGCGCGACGACGACGACGAACCCGGACGCGCGCGGTCGCCGCTACGATCCGCCCAAATCTACGGGAATCTCGGGCAAATTAAAGCGGATCGGGGCCACCGAGAACAACCGCCTCGCGCGCGCACCCCACCGGCCTTTCCACCGTCCTGCACTCCACAGTATTCCACTTCCACTGGCCTCTTCCGGACTCGGCTTGACTGCAGCAGGTTGGTTAGCTTCGCCTCTCCACCCTCTCCGACAAGATACGGTCCAAGTCAGCCCGGTACTCCTAGTGCAGTCTTTTGCATCACCATCCTCGGCTGTTTGGCACGGTGGGGGCATCACCGAATCGATGGAATGCACCCATTCTGCTTGCACGTCGTACTATGCCACCTTGGTTCGCTGTTCACCATCTCCCTATTTATACGCGGTTGTTGCCGGATCAGTCTCACCAACACCAACACTACAAAAGTACAAAGCACGAAGAACTACATTGTCTGCTCTGCTCACTTGCTCAGTGGTCGATCGAAGCGGGAGAGAGTGTGTGCATCATCGATGGCAACGAGCAGCCACGCTCCGGTGAAGCGCTGCCTGAGCAAGGCGCCGTCGGGGAACCCGCTGCCACGGAGGGGCCAGGTCAAGGAGAGCATGGGAAAGCAAATCGTGGCGGCCGCGGCAGCCGTGGCCACCGCGGCGGCGCTTGCCTGCGAGAAGACGGGCGGCGGTGGCGCTGGCTCTGGCGACAAGAAAGGCAGTGGCAGGCCGGCCCCCGTGGTCGGCGCCAAGAAGAAATGACCAGCGAGCTCACTAATTAAAGCATAGTGCACGGCAGAGTGAAAGCAGAGTGCATGTTTGGTTAAAAAAAAAAAGCAGCATAGTGCATGTTGCACGTACTTGCTCCGTCCAAAAAAAAAAAAAAAAAACTCAACCTCATACGTGTTAGTGTCCGATAGTACTTACCATGATGCGAATTACGTGCATGGCCCTTTTTCGGTGCACCAGAGGGACCTGCAGCTATCATGCTCGGTTTCTCTGTGTAGCGTGTGTCGTCTACGAGGCTTTTAAATCTTCCTTGTTTTGTTTGGTGTCAGTATGTAGTAGTAGTAATTGATATGGGTTTTACAGGGGTTTGTATGTAGAATCTTGGATCTTGTCACATGCATGCAGACTGCATACGTTTGGTGTTTCTACTTCTTATCTTACATAAAAAAAATCTCGCGGTACTACCTCAAACTTGTTTGAGTACTGATTATAAGCCGTAACAGTTTATTAATAGTTAAAAATTAATTTATAAGTAAAATTTTTATGGTAAATTTTGGTACATGATACTCAAATTTTGTATAATTTGCTGATAAACATCGAGAAAACGTGTCACAGCTTAAAAACATTAGTAAAAAACTGATAATTTGATAGAAGACACTTTCGGCTTAATTGGATTGATAATTTCTTTAAAAAGACGAGAATGACCCTAATACCACGCCCTTCAAACATGACATTAAAGTAAAAGATTAGAAATTATGCAAATCTAAATTTACCGTCACCCTAAATACACCACTAGCATACATTATACTCCATCTTTGCTACAGTCTTAGCTCAAAAGCTTTTGACCTTAGGG